GTTAATTACGGGGTTTATAAGTAACGGCTGTTTTTCCCTATAAAAGGATCTAAAATCCGCAGAGTTTAAAAAAGCGAAAAGCAACAACCTCTTCTTCACCTTCTCTGTTCTTCTCTTTCAAAATACTTACTGTTACAATTTGCTGGTTCCCTGAAAGTTTACGAAGAATTCGCAAAGCCTTCTTGAAGCTCGTGCCGACGAGAAGGAGGTCGCCTGACCGAGGGTCGTTGTATCTCCGGGAGCTTTTGCCGCGTAGCCCTGTACGAGAGGGGGCAATTAGTTTCTTGGGACAGTGCTTGCACGCCTCGACCATCAGGCCGTATTTCTAACCTCTATTTACTTTTCATTTGATATATTTCTTATATCTGCGTTATAATAGTAATTATCTGTTAATTATCAAATTGCTTAAACTGATTTTCGTTATTGTCTAAACAGCTAATATTCCCAACATGCTGTACATAATTGCAATTCATAGTCACCTTCCATGAGTACGAGGTCTATATATGTATCCGTAAAGCCTTCTTGAGCTGGATGGTTGCTTATGTTATTTCATTGGAGGCGGTTGCGATGTATATGATAGTGAAGGAGTTTATCTACTTTTCATCATCGCATAAGAGTACTTGTATCTGTTGAGATTTTGCCTAGAAGGATTGTATAAAATTTAACAACTTTGATTTATTATTATTGTGGATATGTAGCTAATTAATGTATGCGGTTTTCGTGTATTTCCTCTGTTTAGTGTTGGCAAGTTTGGTTATTTTCCAAAGTACTTCATGTTGAGCACAAGATATTTGAACCCAATGCAGGATTCAAGACGATAAACCTTATTAGACAAGAAGCCTTCTGATCTAATCGATTCTATCATCAGCTGAACCCCACACACCAAGGCATTGATAGGAGGCCACATTCAAGCACAAACATAACCGAGAATTTGTTGTAAATTTTTACAAGCTCAGCCCATACACACTTGATGCTACCATCACCAGATTCCAACAACAGATACTTGATAACTCATTTCATTAAACTGCCAATTCCATTGACAATGAAACAACACGGAGTAAGGATATATCACATATGTTAAGTTTCAAGTGACATGCTTATCATATACCATACAGGGGGCAACAAACTAAAAGAGGTACTACATTGATCAAAACAACAAAGTCAATGCCTTGCAGATAAAAAGCTGCTTACATGACATCTCATACGCATTAAAAGTTTACATGTAGCAGAGTTCTTTACTCATTAAAAGTTTACATGTAACAGAGTTCTTTCAAGCCCTTCAAGACTAAACTCTGCATTATGACATGACAATAAAAATCAAGAAAGATCTGTTGAACACTTAAATCAATTCTTTGCCTTAACAGCGTTGTTCTCCTTTATTCTTGATCGGTTATCAAGCTTAACAAAACGCTTGAGGTCCTCATATGGAAGAGTTTCAACATTCTTCCTTCGTAGTTCACTCAGTGGAGGTCGTTTGTCTACCAAGTGAAACAGCCAGTCAGGGTACTCAGAATCTGGCAGTACTTTAGGATCAGTGCCCTCCTTCAAGATATTGGCTCCAAACACAGTGGTACTTTTCATTTCTTTGGTCAGGACGGACTCCTTTGGAGCATCGCCTGCTCCTTTTCCACTCTTTTTCGATTTAGGACCAGCAACGAAACTTCTGATGGCAATCATATTAATGGCCTTGTGAAGAGGGAGAGAGAAGAGGGAGAGAGAAGAGAAAGTCCATGTTTGGTTGAGGAGGAGTTGGTGGGTGTCGGCGGAGGAGGGGGATGTCGGCGGAGTAGGGGTCATCGGCGGAGTTGGGGGATCTCAAGAGAGAGCTCGAGGGAGATCGAGAGTGGTCAACGGTGATGTGGGATGTCGTCGGAGGCGAAGTTGGGG